TTTTACCTTTTTGTCACATTAACAACAACCGGGTCACAGTGTCTCTGGGATAAGATTTTATCAATTAAATTCCAGTAGGAAAAGGCCACAACTGGCATTATAGGTAGCCAAATTAGATAGAAATATTAATAGGCAGTCAGACAGGGCAAGGCCCTTGAAGGAGACAGCACAAAAGACAAGTTATCTTGCAACTGTGAGAGGGGCAGATGCTCCTGCTATGAGCCAGACCTAAAAGACCTAAAGGCCAAATAAATGCTAAGAGTAGCACCTGGGATTGATATTCTAAATAGATATCAATCACCTAAAAAGACCTAAGTGAGCTACCAGCCCAGCCCCCATTTGGCCCTGGGCGTAATCAACTTTATCTGAGCAATGCTGCCTGCAATCCCATTGGTTGACAATAGTTTTGTCCCACCCCACATCCACCTAAGTGACACCACTTCCTCTCGCACACATGGCGCAGCCCCTCCTCCCACCCCAAAGCCTTTGCCTTGGGCAGCCAGGATAGTGCTGCTGCCTCTTCCTCTCTACCTTAACCCCACATGGTTTTGCTCTATGCAAATAAACTGAAAGAGATAGCTTCCTGGGCAACCCACTCAGGTCCCCCTTTCTGTCCTCTCTGAGACAGAAGCCTTTCTTTCCAATCAAACATTTTACTCTCAACCTCTGTTTGTTCCCAAAATCCACTCCTCAGTTCTAGAGAACACGAACTCCTATTTTACTTCCCTGTATCACTGGGGCCTTTATAGGTCCCAAAGTCTCATAATAATCCTTAATTTTAACCTTTACTCCTCGCGCCTTTAATGCTTTGCTCAAACTTTCTACAAATATCTCATTCACTTAATACCTGTCCATTGTCAAGGGAAAGGGGAAAGGGGTGCCGTCTGCTTACTGAGGTTCAGACGTTGCAGCAGGCAACTGCGGCACAGCCCTCTTTTATTCCCTCTTTTGCCTCTTTTACTCTCTTGCCGGCTCTCTCTTTTACTGGCTTTCTCTTGCATGCGCTCTCTCGGACGGTTCCATCACTGAATCCTCCGTACCAGATGCCCCACTCGCAGGGCGCCACTTGTCCCGAACCAGCAGGTCAGTCAACGAAGGTCACCTGGGGGAGGAGCGAGGAATTGAAGAGGGGACAAACGACAGGAGACGTGAGAAATGGAGGCAAGACAAAGATTCTGATCAAGCCTCATTTATTTAGGAGAGGTTCTGGGTATATATAGGGGGTGATGGAATGAGGAAGTCTTGGCTCCTGGGGTCAGCAGGTATCTAGGCAACGGGGAGGTTGCAACCCCTAAGGCATAGCACGTGACTCACAGGGAATGGGCAAGGTGAGAAGGGCCACGAACTTGACTCAGCAGGGGAATAGAATGAATACTGGTTAATGGCCTCCAACAGATCCCCCTATATTTTATATATGTATATAAAATATGGCTTTTGTAGATGGCTGATTCCCTTGAGGGGTCAGTGCCTGTCTTAGGTTGAGGGGTCCTCTACACTGACCCAACTCAAACCCTATCCGTCATAGGAGACTAGGATGGCAGAAGGTCCCGTTCCTGTCTTAGGCGGCAAGTGGTGTCTCATGTATGCCCCTTATTACCCGCCTCTGGCTAGCCTGACCATCTCACCAAGGGTGGGAGAACTAAGAGGTCTCCAGACCTTCATCATCATAAGCTGTTTGTACTCCAGCACAGTTTTCCCTTTTAGCCATCTCAGGCCTGTGATAATGGACCTGTATAGGTTGCATTTTAATGGCAT